TGTGTCCCTCCTAGCACTTGCTGCAGTGGTATGAGGCCAGAGTGCTAAGTGCAGGAGGGAAGAGCCTGAGTAAGGCAGGAGAACAGAGAGGAAAGGAGAGGCAGGGTCCAGGTTGAGGGCAGAAGTCAAGGAGAGGAGAAGTGGAGAAGTTGGGGTGGGTATGATGAGGGAGGAGGGGCACCTTGCAGCTGTACCCAGGCCAGGTAGGGCAGAAGGAAATTGCCATGCCAGAGGGAGATGGAGTACCCTCAGTAATATCCAATATGGTATTACATCTCCCAATGGGATAGCACTCCTGCCACGTGTTTTTCCTGCCTTTACCATGGATGAATAAGCAACTGACACTTACCTAAAGAAATGCTCCCATCCTTGGCCAGCCTGTGCTTTTGTGGGCTGCAGCCGAACATGGCAAATGGAAATGCCCATGTATGAGACTGGGGCCCGGGAGAGTGCACACCTGCACCCCCTGCACCTCTGCACCCCTTCACTTTTGCACCCCTGCACACCTGCACCCCTACACTCTTGTACCCTGTACACCTGCAGCCTGCATCCCTGTGCTCTTACACTCCTACAGTCCTGCACCCTGAACACCTGCACATCTGCATTTGTGCTCTGCATCCCTGTCCTACACTCCTGCACTCCTGAACGGCCTCTTCCAGCACCTTCCCTGTCTCTCGCAGGACCTGATGCAGAGGGCAGGGGCAGGAGGATGGGGACATAGCACCCAGGGACTCTCTGCTACAATTGCATTTACAGCTTTGACACACATTAATCCTGGGTTATACCTGGCTAAGGAGGCAGTAGAAGGTGCACTGTAAAAGTAACTCCTCCTTTAAGATGAAAAATGGACATGAAGAACCCAGGCTTGTCACTACATTCAGATTAGATAATAGTGTTACCATGCTGGCAGCTAAATTAACAGCATGGTTCCCTAGGCTGTAGTTCCAAGGCTTGGGAAGTTACTGAAGAAAAACTTCCGGTTTTCTTTTTCTTTTTCTTTTTCTTTTTCTTTTTCTTTTTCTTTTTCTTTTTCTTTTTCTTTTTCTTTTTCTTTTTCTTTTTCTTTTTCTTTTTC